TCTGGAAGACTGGATCGCGGCTAAAGAAGCCCAACAAAAGAAGACAATTTTAACGAAAAGGAGAAACAATATGGAATTGTATTGAACGATCAAGAAGTGTTATCGGATCACGATTGCTATTTGGGAAAAAAATTACTGGATAAACGGGCGAGGGATGAACCGGGGTGATCCGCGATAGAGGATCGATATTGGTTCCGCCAAGGATCCGCAGAATCCAACAACGCCAGTGCAGTAATCAGGTTGGGAATGTTTTTCTGCTTGCAATCCAAACCAGGATACCATGGTCGCACTTCTGAGTACACTGGAAAGTGAAGGAAGTATGGATCCAACAAAATGTCCAGATCGCAGTGTCCTTCGACCATCCCTTGGAGAATAACGCGAAGAATAGTCTTCCAGCGGGGTCCAGATCTCGACCGACGCTGCTTGCGTTGCTGACAAAATTGCGCCAGCTCTGGATACTCCTTCCGATGTTCGCGGGAGATATACAGGAAGTGGGTTGCCTCCCACAAGGCTTGCCTATGGCGATCTTCAAATTCGAAATAAATGTCTGCTAGATCTTTGAACCAACCAGTCAGAGGGAAGGAGATGGGAGCAATCGGCCGACGAGTGACGTTCCACGGTTTCTGATCGTAAAGCGCAGTAACTTGTGCCGGGGTGATCAGTCGGGGAATCCACTCAGAATCAAGAAGAGATTTGGGATTGGCTTGAGGGGTGAAGATATACCCTCTCGGTCGGGACAAGTGTCGATAGAAGAACTCCACTCCCAATTCGGCAACACTGGTCAGACTGACCCGTCGGGCGGACCATGGAGCGACCTGAGTTGACGATCGGGGCTTTCGCTCACGATATCCTGGGATCCACGCATCACGTGATTTTTGGAGATCAGGCAGGTCGGCGTATTGAGCGGGAGTGAGCAACTGGTTTATATCTTCACGAATGTCACTGGAAACGCTAATTTTCCCGTCTGAGTCGCTAGAAGGTTCGCCAAAAAGGTCGACCTTAGAAATCTTGGTCGTAAGGCTAGAAGGCGTAGCAGGACTCGAGACTGGTGATTTTTTGGAGGGTGGGCTACCATTGTGAATTATGATAGGGGATTGAGACGATCCGGTGTTGCCAGATAGTTTCGTCGTGGTTTTGCGACGCCTCGCGGTTGAACGCGATCCGGATAGAGCAGCAAGTGTAGCGTCTTCGGGATCGGAAGACCATCCGTCATACTCAGAGTCAGGCGAAGGCGAGGGACACGTTTTGCGTTTCTTTTAGCTTTCGACGAAACATTGGGTCGCGTTGTAATAACGATCGCACCGACTTGGGAGATTGCGCCCGAGTACCAGATCGCGTCGAATTACCTGATCGCGTTAAATTACTAGATCGCGGTGGAGAACCAGATCGCGGTGGAGTACTAGATCGCGCTGGAATGCCAGATCTCTCCGAGGTCGCAGATTGAGCAGAAGTACCGGAATCGCTGCGGGGACGTTTACAGGGGACGTCCAGAGTCGGTGAAGATGACGTACGTTTACGATTGGGTGACGAGGGATTGGAAAGCGCGAGAAGGCTAGTCGAAGAAGAAAGTAAGCCCGTAGCCAATTCTGCCAGATGCGAACGAAGTAAATCTCGATCCTGGATGGCCAGATCGCGCTCTGCCTCTCGATCTGCAACTTCGGTACGAAGTCGATCCAAAGCTGCGTCGTTCCGAATACTCGTACTCAGGAGGCGATCATGATCAAGCTCGAGCGCGCTCAGTGTCTCTTGCAGTTGTTTCGCGGCTTGCTGGGCCTGAGAACGAGCTTTCTTGCACTTGGATGCCTTGCTTTTCATGCGTCGAAAGTCAGCGGCCAAAGCACTGTCTTCTGTATTACGCTGTGCGAGGATGGAGTCCAGTTGCTGTTGGAGGGATGCGATCTGCTGCCGGAATTTTCCTTCCAGAGTTCGCTGAAGATTGGCCGCCGCACGGCGGAATTTATCCTGCAGGCGATATTTCTCTGCATTGGCTCGAAACAAGGCATTCTTCAGATCGGCGATCTCCTGAGACTGATCCGTTAGCTGGTTCAGTTCTTCGTCGAGACCTTCGGCCATGTGGAGAGCGGCATCAAGTTGTTGACGCAACTCTTCATCTCGACGCAAGACGAATGTGCACAGTCGAGGTACCAACTCGTGATACAAATTGAGTTCCGTCTCCAGCTGATTTCCACGAAATTCCTGCTCCCGTAAGGCATTTTCCATGGAGTGATAGCTTCCCACGATGGTATCCTGGGCTTCCAGGCGGTCATACAATGAAGAAACCAACGAGATCGCGTTCTGACGATCTGCAACGGGAGGAAGGATTATCCGGGTAGACGGGAGCAAGATACGCGATCCGGTAGAGGAACCCATCGTTGGATCGCGCGTAACGAGCACACCAGTTTGGGGGTGGCGATCGTTTTCGGGTGTAGATCTGGCCATAAGGGACGAAGTGACGAGAAGAGTGAAGCGAGACAGTGCACAGTTAGGCCAACACTGTATGTGGGCTATCGGTGCAGGGGACGATTGTGGCGAAGTGAAAGAGTGAATTTCGCAAAGTGTGATCACATATTTTCGGTTAAGTCCGAAATGGCCAATATTGATGAGTCGCGATCTCGCAGAAAGGTTTCGAGATGACGTCAAATGGGATGGAAAACAGTGAATGGTGTAGTTTGCAGTTCTATGTGGGGTTAAATATGGCCTAGGAACTACGCTATTGCGATCTCCAGTATTTCCGATGGCGATCCGCGTGAACGCGATCGCTAAGGAGGAGGATGGGTACATCCAAGTATGTGGAAAACGGACTGGTGTGGATCACGTCACTATGGAGGACTGGAATGGTGGACATGACATGTCACATATATGTACCATCTCACATGACCTGAGAAACGGTGAAGAGGACAAGTCGTGATCCGGCGGATCGCGATCCGATGCTAATTATTAGTATCGCTATCCGATGCTAATTATTAGTATCGCGATCCGATATTAATTATTTAGTACCGCGATCAGGTACTAATTATTAGTATCGCGATCCGATATTAATTATTAGTATCGCGATCCGATATTAATTATTAGTATCGCGATCCGATACTAATTATCTAGTACCGCGATCCGATATTAATTATTTAGTACCGCGATCAGGTACTAATTATTAGTATCACGATCCGATATTAAATATTTAGTACCGCGATCCGATATTAATTATTTAGTACCGCGATCTGGTAATAATTATTTAGTACCGTGATCTGGTACTAAAATGGTATTAGATCCGGGCGAGGTAGCGATCCAGATCGCAGCGATATTGGAGTGGACCACATTAAAAGATCTGATTTCTCCGAAAGGGCGATACGTGGCAGTAGATTCTGAGCTACAGATAGTCAAGATCATAGGTTTTGGTATTTGATTGGTTAACATTAACAGAGTTCAATTTGCTTCTAAGTACACGTGTCGACTTCTCTTCCGGGCTGGATTCTTTGGCCCCCCGACGTCTCAAGGAAGTCTACATACTACGCAAGTCATATCCCTGGATTGTTTGGCCAGGGATTGCAAGAATTCTCAACAAAACAACTCAAGCTGCGATTGGACGCAGAGGACTAAGAAGTCCACATACAAGATCGCGAGACGGCTCAAGTGGTCAGAAGATCAAATATATCAAGTGGATCAAGTATCTACATTTTTGGACAAGGCGATCTCAAGAGAGATCAGGGCGACTCAAATAGAGCACCCCAAGAACAACTGCGATCGTGTGAGGAATTCCACGCGATCGCCCCCCCACCTATCCCTAACACAATCAAGTTCAACATCGACTCAGGTCTACCGAGAAGAGAGCAACCCGCCCTACCGACGGGTACACAATGTGAGGAAGGCTTTATACACGGAATCGGGGTACCCCCTCCTTTAGTCGGTTGTCCGGGCGCCAGTGGAGAGTTGGAATCGCATCAGCAATTTTGCGAATCCCACTCCATCACACAGTTTCTGGAGCTGATCCCGTTGGCAGGCGACTTGCTTCACGAGGGCTTTAGAGCGGGCCAGCTCATCTCGAAGTAGTGATACTTGAGATACTTTGGACCGAAGATCGGCCGTGGTGGTATCCAACTTGGCCTCCAGCTCTTCTATCTGGAGTGTGAAGCTCGTCACAGTGGCCTCATACTGGCCCTCCAGTACCGAATCATTGACCGAAACGCTTTAACCTCAAGGCGGTAATCCTTCTTGGTGGCGAGCGCATCTCGGTACTCCACCATAGTAGGCTGGTCGGTTACGTGGTCGCGGACGAGGTTCCGAATCGAGCCTCGATCCGGGGAAAATCAACTTTTTCAAATCGAATGACCTCGTCCACGCGGCTCTGCAAGCCTTAGGCCCGGCCATGCTCAGCCTGATAGGCCTGCTGGAGGGCCCTTTGATTGTCAGCGAGGGTCTCCATAACTTGAGCTCGTTCCATCGCTAGCTGGATCGCTTCTCACGTCCGGGTGACACTTGCATAATCGGGGGGGGGGGGGGGAGTTGGCAGAGGACTTTAGATAGAAGAAGATTGTGTATTGTTCCCGTGAGGGTTAATCCCAGAATGAGATGTATAGAAGTGCAGTTGTGTTAATCTGCCTGTAACATGTAATGATGTAGATCGTGATATCACGAAAGAAGGTAATGGATGATCTGGGGCCTTGGTGATAGTACCACTGTTGACTTGAAGTTTCAACTCTCCCCCACAAGTCAAGCAGGGCTTAGCTGATAACCTTGAACTCATCTCGATTCATGACGTGCAGTGCTCTGGTGAAGCGGTCATGCTTGATACGGCCGAGTGGTTTGGTCAGGATGTCTGCAAGCATTTCTGATGTTGAGCAGTAGTGGACCGTGACACGCTTGGCTTGTACATTATCGCGAACAAAATGGAACCGGATGTTGATGTGTTTGCTGCGAGGTGAGCTGACGCTGTTCTCCATGTTCATAATTACAGCTTGATTGTCAACAATTAGCGAAAGCGGTTCGTGGTTTGTTGTGAGTTTAAGCTACGATAGGAGATCTTTTACCCAGAGGCATTCACTCACACCTGTTGCACCAGCAATGTACTCAGCTTCCATGGTAGATAATGCGACGACGGATTGCTTCTTGGAATACCACGATATAGGCGAACCATTCATTGTTAGGAGAACACCGGTCGTGGACTTAGCGTCTAGCTTGGAATCGGCCCATGATGCGTCACTGTAGAATTTCAGGCGTGGTTGCGATTGAACTGAATTGAGCTTCTTGATAAAAATGCCATGAGTCGAAGTGCCTTTGAGATATCGCATGAGGCGCTTTACACAACTCCAGTGTTCGGTGGTGGGTGCGTGTGTCGCTCTACACAGAAGATTCACGGTCGTAGTGATATCGGGACGAGTGCAGTTGGAGATCCACAATAATGACCCCATAACTTCTTGGTAGAGTCGTTTGTTTGAAAAGAGGCTCGAGTTTGGATCGTATAGCTTGTGTTTTTCTTCCTTTGGCGTCGAACGGGTAGTACAATTCATTTCGAGCCTAGTGAGGAGAGCATCGATGTTGTGCTGTTGTTGAAGAAAGTAGCCGTAATCCGTTGTATCCACATTAATACCGAGGAACTTGCTGATTAACCCCAAATCGTTGATGTCGAATTTATCGTAGAGCTGTTGCATAAGAGTCTCAGATAGGGAGTCATCTTGTGCAATTATAATGACATCGTCGACGTAAAGGCCGACAACTGTAGTGCCGATGGCTTCATGTTTGAAGTAGACGCACGGATCTTGGCGGCTTTGTGTGTAACCACACTCGAGAAGAAAGCTATGAATTAAGTCGTTCCAAAGTCGTCCGCTCTGTTTCAATCCGTAAAGGCTCTTCAGCAATCGATAAACTCTTCCTTCGTCTGGGGATCCGTGTGGCGGTTTCACGTAGATCGGCCGATCAATCGGTGCACGAAGGTAGGCGTTGGGAACGTCACCATGGCGAACTTTACAGCCCCACTGAGCTCCAAGCGTAATAAGAAATCGCGCGCTTGCCATTTTGAGTACCGGAGAGTATGTTTCGCTGAAATCGACACCATAGCGTTGGGTGAATCCTCTTTTCACGAGCCGAGCCTTAAACTTGTCGAGTTCTCCCATCGAGTTGTATTTGATCTTGAAAACCCATCTTGTTGACACGACCTTGGCCCCAGGTGGTGGGACGGCTTCCTCCCATGTACCATTCTTACACAACTGGTCCAGCTCTTGGATCATAGCTTCCTTTAGCTGTGGCCAAAATGGACTTGCCATTGCTTCGCGAATATTTTTAGGGTCCGGAACACCATCAGAGATATGAAGGGCCATCATTGCTGCACCGGAAATACCGGTGACGTCGAGAAGAAGGGACGCAGGTAGCTCGAATTCTTCAATTGGAAGTTGAGCACCGCGCTTGTGGACCTCGAATACACTGTCGATTTGGCGCTTGGTCAGTGTGACGTCATCAATTGGTTCGCCTGTCTTGAAGTCATCGTCGTCGTCGCTGCCTGAAACTTCACTGGTCCAATCAAGATGATCGGGTGATGGCTCCCCCTCAGACACTGGCGTGGTCTTGTGAAGAGCGTCGGTGGTAGCGGCACGATCGGACATTTGCTGAGCCTGGGGATGAAATGTGCTGGGGACAGCGTCAAGTGTATCGAAGGTGTCGACGAGGTCACCAGCGGCATCGATATCAACGTGATCGACATTTTGGATGTTGGAGCTGGTCAAATACGTCTTGGTACGGGGAAGATAGAGATTGTAGCCATTGTTAACGGGGTCGATGCCGAGAATGAACGCCTGTTCGGAGCGTTTACGAAGCGACTTTGCAACTGCATGCTCTAGCCTTACGGTGCAGCGGGCACCGAATTTGAGCAAGTGGCTGACGTCGGGTAATTTTCCCGTAAGTACTTCGAGGGGTGAACGGCGGTCTGCATTACCGCGGGTAGGGAGGTAGTTTCGCATTGTGCTGGCGTAGAGTATAGCGTCTCCCCAAAATTTTGTCTGCATACCAGATGACCAGAGCATTATTAAACAGCGTGCGATGGAAGCGCTCGGCCTTGCCATTTTGAACGGAAGTGTCTGTTTCGGTTGTCTGGTGTAGGATTCCATGGCGCTGCAAATATTGCCTCATCTTGTCATTAACAAATTCACCACCAGGATCCGAACGAATGCATTTGACTCAAACATCAAATTGCCGTTGGAAAATTGCGTGAAAATTTACGAATTTGTCGAAGGCTTTATTTTTCGTCTTCAGCAAGTAGACACAGTTGTACCCAGAAGCATAGTCAACAATGGTGAGAACGTGCTTGTGTCCCTTCCGGTCGACTGGGGAGATGTTGATTTTAAGGTCTAAGCCGATGACGGCACCAACCTCGTCTGTAGGAGCTGATCTTGAAGTGTCTTGTTTACCTTGACGGTTGCGAGTTTGCTTAGCTTCAGCACACTGCATACAAAAAGGCATGGTTCGATTTGTCAGCTTTATACCGGCGGCAAGCCCCTTGTCAGCCATACGAACAACATCTTGGTAGTTCAGATGACCTAGCCGCTCATGCCACTTGCGAAGGGTGGAGCTTTCAATTCGAGCGAGAAAAGCAGCAGCCTCATCAGCAGTATCAGATATTGCGGAAAGTGACCAGAGACGTGATTCGCGAAAGGCACGGGCGATGATACGATCATTCGTAGAGAGCGTACAGTGACTGGAGAATGAAACCACAAAGTCTTGATCGATAAGCTTAGAAACAGAAAGCAGGTTTCGTGGCATAGCAGGGACGTAGTGCACATCAGTGAGCACAAATCGGGTAACCGTTCCGTTTGTGATCGTCTTTAGCAGTACGCTGCCTTTGCTAACGGCCTGAAGCACGGAACCATTTGCGACACGGACTCGTAAGAAACTGGGTGTGGGCGTGATAATTGCAGCTGCGTTGTTCGTAAAATGATGGGTAGCGCCGCTGTCAATAAGCCACTTTGTCGAAGTTGGCAACTTAGCGTCGCGGGATTGAAGTACGATGCATGCGTCAGCACCAATAAAGGCATTAGGGGTAGGAGAGTCCAACGGAGATCCATGATCGATACACTCTTCTGCTGACCCGAGAAAAAAACATTCCCCAGTTGAGTCGATAATTGTGTCGTCAGTGTTGCAATCTCGCTTTATTGCAGTCTCTCTAGCGTCCAGCTATGCTAGATATAGAGATATATCTCTTGACACTCAAAGATATATATTACTTCGTTTAGCTCTTTCTGGCTACTGACGACTTGCCTTGCACTTTGCACTTTTCTGACTGAGCTTTCGAGCTTTCATGTATGCGGCTGCAGCTAACCTGCGAGCCGCCACCTTGTCACCAACGTTTGTCGACTCGTCCAGTTGTCGACTCGTCCCATTCTGATCTCCGCCGTTTCCCTTCTCCATTGTTTCCACGTTTCACCATCGGAATCGGTAAACGGACGTGAAATGTGTAAACGGACGTGAAATGTTCCAACGACTTCAACTTGGGAGGAACATATCACAACACGCCCCCTCCGACGCTTGTGTCGGAACATCTTTACTCTTGTGAAATCCTCATGCCAATGTCGGCTCGATACTTCGCTAGGCTGCGCTTCGGTAGAGCCTTTGTGAACATATCAGCAGGATTCTCTGTTCCGGACACTTTCTTTACCAAAATATGCCCAGCCTTAATTTGTTCGCGCACATAATGCCATCTTAGCTCAATGTGTCTTGTTTTGCTGCTATGTGTGGGTTTGCATGCCAACGAAATAGCTGCCGCATTGTCAATGCCCATCGTTAGTACAGCATGTGCCTGTATACAGTGTAAAATCTCATTGAGCATATTTGCAATTCCGCGACCCTCCATGGACGCTTCGCATGCTGCCACATATTCGGCTTCTGCGGTTGATTGTGCGACTATTGTTTGACGTCTGGCAGCCCATGCGACAGCTCCAGATTCCATCATAAGCACAAATCCGGTGACACTTTTTCTTGAGTCGGGATCGTTGCCCCAATCAGCATCACAATATCCAGTAATGACAACATCTTCGTTTGCTCCCATATCTCGTGTGTATCTTATGCCGGTTTGTAGTGTACCAGATAGGTATCGCAATACTCGCTTGACGGCTCCGCAGTGTTTTCGTGATGGGTTGCTCACAAAACGGCTCAAGTAGCCCACAGCATACGCAATATCTGGCCTTGTAGTAGTCGCCAAGTACATCAACGATCCAATAGTTCCTCGATAATCAAAATCAGTGTCTTCAGCTGGTTCAATGCATTCTTGGTCATCAGTCTTCACTTGGAATCTCCACATTAATCCTAATTTGTTTGCCTTCGCCGGGGCTTCTGTTTCATCAATCGGAACCAATACTCCCTTAGAAAACATGGCGTTCACTTCGTTTTTCATACCATTATACCATTCGTCTTATTGCGGCGTCTTCATCGCTTCAGTAAAGCTTTTGGGAATCTTGGTCTCATTTGCTCGCCATCTATGGTTCGCTGTAAGACTTTCGCTATTTTCATGGAGTGCAGCATTCACAAGGTACCCCTCAAGCCACTACGGGTATCGGCGCTCTGTTGACTGGCGTAAGACCATTTTCTGTGGCCTTCCTTTGTTCTCGCGCCGTCGTTTTATCTCTTGGACATCCTCTAGCTCCGCATCCAAAACTTTCCTACGTTCTCCAGTAATTATTTCAGGAATCATACACGTATCCATCAGGTCATTGCTGGACTCACTCGTCGTCGCACCCTCGCGTGAATGTACTGTATCCTTGGAGGTGGTAGGTAGTTCCGTATCTGCATGTACATTTTCATCCTCATTCTCGATATTACTAGTGTCGGATGTCTCTGACCGATAGTCACAACTCACCTTGTCGCAATTTTCGGCAGCTGATTGACTGTCAACATCTGTTTCGGTATCGTGGGTCGTTTCACTTTCCAAGCTAGAGGGCTTGCTTGTATAATGTTTTTGAATTGCATCATCACTGGCATTGGCACACATAGGGCTCTGATTACTCAGATCGAGTGTATCCCGAATTACAGGAATATCAATGTTGGTCTTCACTGAATCCACATCAACTAATTCAAACTTTGGTGATGACTCGATTGCTGATGACTCGCTCTCATAGTCAATCGGGATCGATTCACCATCCGACGCAATACTGTCATCATCCGACTCAATACTTCCATTCTTCACTTCCATCTGTCTTCATCTGACGCAATACTTTCGTCATTGCTGTCGACTTCCATACTCGCTCCATTTTCATCATCCGTACTTGTACGTGACAACCAATCTGATACGGCGACAGCACATCCTTCATGATATCGGTCACCGTATACTATATCCTCATTGATCGAAGCATCCAAAACGTGTTGAACCACTTGATCTGCTGGAAAATAAGCTTTAAATCCTGCTTGTCCTTCCAGGTACCCCAAAAGAAAACCAATTCTGCAGTTATCATCTAGTTTCTTCCGAGATTGGTTGTTCGCTTGATGGACATAAGCGAGAGATCCAAACTATCTTATACCATGTAGGTTTGGCTTCTTGTTCATCATCATTCTGTATGGAGTCTCTTTGATTGACCGACAGTATGCCCTATTTCTCAGGTACGTAGCCATCTCAAGCGCATGCATCCAAAACGATTTTGGTAGCTTTGCGGACGCCATCATTGCCTTCATCATGTGAATTAGGGTTTGGTGTGCTCTCTCACACAGGTTCAAGTGTGATCCATGAGGTGTGTGGTAAGAACTCAATGCCAACATTTCTGTACCAAAGGATAATCTCCCCATTTACAAATTCCCCTCCGCCGTCAGATATCACTTGCTTGACCTTATTTGCGGGAAATTGACGCTCTGCCCAGGAAATGTATCGTTTGATGGCTGTATTTACTTCCGATGCGTTCTTTGAGTAAAGTGGGTACACCGTAGTATACCGGGAGTATCCATCTACTACAACAAGTACCGCCTTATACGCTCTTGGGCTTGAGCTGTACTTCGGAAAAAGTAAATTGACAAATATCACTTGATTCTTCGTCGTTATATCACGCTTCAAATGCTTATGACGTGTACGTTGTCGGTCTTTACCAATGTGGCATGCTTCGCAATCAATAAATTGTTTTGGGCTTAGTGACATTCCGTCTACTAGCTTGCGATCTGCCATGAGCTTCACGTACTGTGGATTAAGATGGCCCAGCCTTTCGTGCCACCGTTGGATATCAGCGTGCCCTTGTGCGCGCGTATGATTTACCTGAGGACGGAAGCACTTATCTGTGATCAGCAGTTCACCCCTGTCACTCGTTTGTGATAGAAAATCATTGATGGCATTAAATGTGAAAAGACCACAGTCATCTCTTTTGATGTTCAGCAGCTTCCGATTATGCTGCCAAAGCTCGTAGAATCTTTCTCCCTCTCGGATGCAATACTTCACAGTATGTCCTTGGTCCTCGACTTGTGTGTGAGAAATTAAATTCATACAGTCAGGAACGTATAATACGTCATAAAGTGTTATCATGTTGCTGCTTGATCCGTTTTGAACAAGTATCTGAACGGTTCCCTGGCCAATCGGCTTTGTTTTAAAGTGCTTCTGAAATCCTCGGATACATTGAGCTTGTGCATTGTTATCAAATGCGCTATAATCAATAAAGTATCGTAAATCAGAAGCCACATGTACATTCGACGCATTGTCAAGACACCATTGTAGTTGTGTGCAGTTTCTGTCTGAAGTATTTTCCCTCGTTGACAGCTTGTTCTTTGCCATCACCATCAGTTCATCCGGCTTTTCTTGACATCCATCCGCAAGCTCATTCTTCGGATGCTGTGCAAATGCCACCTGATAATCACTCGTTTTTGGTTTCTTCATTATAGGACAGTCTCTCATGCGGTGTCCAGGCTTATGACAATTAAAGCAGTTTCCATGCTGCTTATCCGCCTGTGAAGTCGTGCTTTGGAGTACTTTGTCGGCAGCTATTAACTTTCTGGTTCCGATATGTGATCTTGCACAGCTAGCGTTTTGCCGGTTCTTGGATGTTTGACTGCCTCCATTGTC